TGTTCAGAGTTTCTGATATTTTTTTTATAACCCAACCCTGATCTGTACTTCTCCACAACTTTGTCCCTGACCTGTTTAGAGAGCTCCTTGGCCTTCACGGTGCCTTTTGCTTGGTGGTGCCCCTTGCTTAGTGGTGTTGCAGACTTTGGAGCCTTTCAGAACCGGTGTATATATACTGAGATCATGTGACAGATCATGTGATATTTAGATTGCACACAGGTAATTATGTGACTTCTGAAGGTAATTGGTTGCACCATATCTTATTTAGGGGCTTCATAGCAAAGGGAGTGAACCCATATGCACGCACCAGTTTTCTGTCATTTATTTATTTTTGCATTTTTTTTTGCATAAGTTATTTTTTGCATTTTCACTTCACCAAATTGGACTATTTTGTGTATGTCCATTACATGAAATCCAAATTAAAAATCTATTTAAATTACAGGTTGCAATGCAACAAAATAGGAAAAACGCCTAGAGGGATGAATGCTTTTGCAAGGCACTGTATATAGTATTGAGTACAGAGACCATGTCTAAAGACACTAACCTGAGTCTGGAATGTTGGAGAGAGAGGGTTCAGACCTTTGCCAATAGGAGGGCTGGAATGGGAAGTAGAACGGTCGTCCAATCCCATACTGACCTGGAGAGACGAGGGAGGGGTTCATTATACAGTACTGTAACCAGGAAACAACGACAGTGTAATGCAGGTATCAAGTCCGAGTCGTCCAGCCCTTAGGCTAACCCTAACCACTGCTCCAAAAAAGGGTTAACCCTTTACACTCATAGGAATTGGCCTATATGGATAGGGCAAAATGTTTGAAATGTTTCTTACAGAAGAAATATGAAATGCATAAGCGCGGTAGCAATTGAAAGGGAACGGTTTGGAGATTATGGGAAATTTATCAGACCAACGTTGAGGCACAACAGTTCACCGGACACAAGACTGAACCAAACATGACACTGTTGATTTTATGTGCATTTTACATTTACTGTACTTTTCACAGCATTTGTTGATAATGAAATCTGAAAATACTCTGAATACATTCAGTAACATGATAAGAATATTCATGTTAAATGTGGGGTAGGTAAGACAAAACATTTGTTTGTGTGAGAGGACTAACTGGTGTTTCCAAGTGGCAACACACACCTTTCCAATGTGTGTACAGTCGTGGTCAAAAGTTTTGAGAATGACACAAATACTAATTTTCACAAAGTCTGCTGCCTCAGTTTTGATGATGGCAATTTGCATATACTCCAGAATGTCATGAAGAGTGATCAGATGAATTGCAATTAATTACAAAGTCCCTCTTTGCCATGAAAATGAACTTAATCCCCAAAAAATATTTCCACTGCATTTCAGCCCTGCCACAAAAGGACTAGCTGACATCATGTCAGTGATTCTCTCGTTAACACAGGTGAGAGTGTTGACGAGGACAAGGCTGGAGATCACTCTGTCATGCTGATTGAGTTAGAATAACAGACTGGAAGCTTTAAAAGGAGGGTGGTGCTTGAAATCATTGTTCTTCGTCTGTTAACCATGGTTACCTGCAAGGAAACACGTGCCGTCATCATTGCTTTGCACAAAAAGGGCTTCACAGGCAAGGATATTGCTGCTAGTAAGATTGCACCTAAATCAACCATTAAGAACTTCAAGGAGAGAGGTTCAATTGTTGTGAAGAAGGCGTCAGGGCGCCCAAGAAAGTCCAGAAAGCGCCAGGACCGTCTCCTAAAGTTGATTCAGCTGCGGGATCGGGGCACCACCAGTGCAGAGCTTGCTCAGGAATGGCAGCTGGCAGGTGAGAGTGCATTTGCACACACAGTGAGGCAAAGACTTTTGGAGGATGGCCTGGTGTCAAGAAGGGCAGCAAAGAAGCCACTTCTCTCCAGGAAAAACATCAGGGACAGACTGATATTCTGCAAAAGGTACAGGGATTGGACTGCTGAGGACTGGGGTAAAGTCATTTTCTCTGATGAATCCCCTTTCTGATTGTTTGGGGCATCCGGAAAACACCTTGTCCGGAGAAGACAAGGTGAGCGCTACCATCAGTCCTGTGTCATGCCAACAGTAAAGCATCCTGAGACCATTCATGTGTGGGGTTGCTTCTCAGCCAAGGGAGTGGGCTCACTCACAATTTTGCCTAAGAACACAGCCATGAATAAAGAATGGTACCAACACATCCTCCGAGAGCAACTTCTCCCAACCATCCAAGAACAGTTTGGTGACGACCAATGCCTTTTCCAGCATAATGGAGCACCTTGCCATAAGGCAAAAATTGATAACTAAGTGGCTCGGGGAACAAAACATCGACATTTTGGGTCCATGGCCAGGAAACTCCCCAGACCTTAATCCCATTGAGAACTTGTGGTCGATCCTCAAGAGGCGGGTGGACAAACAAAAACCCACAAATTCTGACAAACTCCAAGCATTGATTATGCAAGAATGGGCTGCCATCAGTCAAGATGTGGCCCAGAAGTTAATTGACAGCATGCCAGGGCGGATTGCAGAGGTCTTGAAAAAGAAGGGTCAACACTGCAAATATTGACTCTTTGCATAAACGTAATGTAATTGTCAATAAAAGCCTTTGACACTTATGGAATGCTTGTAATTATACTTCAGTATACCATAGTAACATCTGACAAAAAATATCTCATAACACTGAAGCAGCGAACTTTGTGAAGACCAATACTTGCGTCATTCTCAAAACATTTGACCACGACTGTAGAGTTCCTAAGTAATTTCAATGCACTTTTATGACTCAAACAAGGGTCTTCAACTATACGGTGTGTTTTTGAACTCTCCTAGCTATGCTGTTGAGGAACTAGAGTAAGCAGACTTATAGTTGTTTAGTTTGGAACACAGCCCTGCATCCCCATCATCACACAGTTACTGTTGTTGTTTACGCAGTTGTTTACACATCATTTGAAAGCTTGTTTTACATTTTAGTCATTCAGCAGACGCTCTTATCCAGAGCGATGTACAGTTAGTGAGTGCATACATTTCCATACTTTTTTTTTCATACTGGCCCCCCCGTGGGAATCGAACCCACAACCCTGGCGTTGCAAGCGCCGTGCTCTACCAACTGAGCCCCACGGGACCCGTGTTCTATTGCCAACATGACTAGCTAAGTTATAAAATACGATCTTACAGTGTTAGGCTTTCACAAGGCAATTCAGAGAAACGGATGGCAATTCTGACGCGCATAGAAAGAAAGGAGACATGAAGGGGTAGCTGCAACATGACAAATGACAAGGGTTTGAGTGAGAGGACTAGCTGTTGTTTCCAAGTGTGCACAGTTCATAAGTAATTTCGATGCACATTTATAACTCCAGGAAGAGTCTTCAACTGTAAAGTGTGTTTTGAAAACACTTGTTTTGATTAGAACCCAACCCTGCATTCCAACCATCACACAATTACTGTTGTTTTTTACGCAATGCTAAAAATGGCCCCATTTTAGATTGCAATCTGGGTCAGGTGGGCATCATTTGAAAGCTTGTTCTATTGCCAACATGACTAGCTAAGTTATAAAATACGATCTTACAGTGTTAGGCTTTCACAAGGCAATTCAGGGAAACAGATCGTAATTCTGGTGTTCATAGAAAGAAAGGAGTGCATTCAGGTGGGTGTTCCGCGGCAAAGTTTCTTGACAATAGACAAAACAAAGGCTCTGTTCAAAACATCCCAGGGTATGACGCCATGTCATCATGTAACTGTAGACCTACATCAAACATAGTGATCATAAATGTTGACACTCTATATGACATGAGTTTTATGATATGGAAATGGGTGTTTGGCTTGCTCGTATAACTTCAAAGCGGTATTTATTATAATCCTCAACATCTCACCTTTCAAAATACATAGACTGCTCTTAATTTACAGTATTTCCCTCACTCAGACAAAAAAACAAAAAAAATGCCCAATCAGCAGGAGGGATGGGGGCAAGTTGTCGTGTGCGGTGCTCAATTTCAGAACGGCTGTCAGTCAAAACCCACACAGAGCTGTGAAGCACAGAGCACGAGCTCTGACGTCATTTGTAGAATGTTACTGTACAGCACAGGAGGTTGGTGGGCACCTTAATTGGGGAGGACAGGCTCGTGGAGCGGAATTAGTGGAATGGTATCAAATACATCAAACACATGGTTTGATGCCATTCCATTGACTCCGTTCCAGCCATTGTTATGAGCCGTCTGCTGTAGCTCCACTGCAGTACAGCCACTGTGTTCCAATTTAGGTGCTTATCAGTGCCAAAATCTACCATTTTCGACCCATATACGGGTACAAGGGTAAAGGGCTACCCATTTTGTGGGAGGCTAACTCTAAAAAACACACAGAGACACCCCAACCACAACCCCACACTCCCTCTAACCTGGGAAGACGTTGTCGAGGTACCATGCCAGGAAGCCGTAGAGCACGGCGTCAAACGCCATCATGCCTATGGAGGTGAAGAATGAGTAGGCGTCGCCCTCTAGGGGACTGGTGCCGATGTTGTCCCACTGCAGGCCCAGGCCCTGCTCCTCGTAACGAGACAGGTACTCCGTCCCAAAACCAAACGCTACCGGGGACAGCAGACTCTGAGGGAAAAGACACAGCTACAGTCAGTCGGATGGTCAATCACTCTATTGTTTTATGTGTGACGGTTGAGGGGATGTTATGTTATATACCAGACTGAGGGTTGAGGGGACTGTATCATAGCCCTCACACTAACAATAGTAGCACTAGTTATGTGCTCTAACACTGACGACCCTGTTTCCCTGGGGAAGGCATTGTTCCCTGAGCTGGCAGGTAGCTTAGTGGTTAAGAGCGTTGTGCCAGTAACCGAAAGGTCGCTGGTTCTAATCCCCGAGCTGACTAGGTGAAAAATCTGTCGATGTGCCCTTGAGCAAGGCACTTAACCCTAATTGCTCCTGTAAGTCACTCTGGATAAGAGCGTCTGCTAAATGACTAATATTATGTGTTCTTGGTGTGCCAGGCCACACAGAAGATGGGTTAGGGTTGGTCAACGTACCGCTGTGATCTTGGTGTTCTTGGTGATGCGGTCCTGCCAGGCCACACAGAGGATGTGGGGGAGGTAGAGGGTGAAGTAGATGATACCGCTGCAGGCAGCAGCCAGGTTGGCCTTGTTGAAGAACACACTGAGAAGGAAACACTGCATAATGGTTGCCATGGTGAACGTCAGGAGGAACAGGAACACTACCAACGGGTTGGAGTAGTTCAACACCTTACCAGCCTGAGGGAGGGAGGGAGGGGATAACAAAGTTAATACGATGCCAGTCCTGTATTTATGCACTTCTAAAGACAGCCCACTGGAGGGCGCTGCTGTATACTAAACACCAACTTGCCAAACATCCTCTGGTGGAGGAGGACAGCTCTCTCCCTTTCTGTTGTTTTCCTTCCCCCCTTTCCATCTCTCCATATTATTGGCCGTCAGCAGAGCTGTGCAGGCACTCATCACGATGACCTGTCTATGAACCAATTATATACCTCCCTGTCTCCCTACCCTCATCCCACCCTCCTCCCCTCCTCCGCTCATCCTCACCATAATGATCACTGTGAGCAGGGCTGTGCTGGCAGTCATCATGATGAAGCTGTCTATGAACCAGGTGTACCAGATCACGCCGTTGGTCACTCCCATGGCCTGCAAAAAAACAGAATAGAACAAAATAGAGAACATCTATTGTCCATTAAAACATTTCATAAAATTGACTTTTGTCTTCAGCTCATGTTTAAAACAATGGATTTTTTTTTTTTTTTTTTACCTTGAGCGTCTCTTTGAGGCGTAGCTCCTTCTCCAGAACGATGCTCTTCACTATCATAGACACAGAGTAGATCCACGCTAGCACCATGAAGATAGGGAAGCACCGGTTCAGAGTCAACATGAAGCTAGAAGAGGAGAGAAGAGGGGAGGAGGAGAGAGAGAGAGAGAGAGAGAGAGAGAGAGAGATAGAGAGAGGAGAGAGAGAGAGAGATCAGAGAGAGAGAGAGAGATAGAGCAGAAGAGAGAGATCAATATGATCTAGCGATCGCGCCTCTTCTCTCCTCTCTCGCCCGCTCGTCTCTCTCTATTCGCTCTCTCTCTCTCTCGTTCGTCTCGATATAGCGCTGCGCGCTCTAGTCTCTGCGTCGCCACGAATCTCGCTCTAGCTCTCTTCATCTCTCTGCTTTAGAACTGGTGCTGTCCTCATTATGCTTTTCTAACATCTGATCATGTTTTCTATTCAATCAATCCTGGAGGACCCATATGACTCCCAGAGGGCAAAGCTGGTTGAAATAACGCAATTACAACCTGCTTTCAACCAGCCTTGTTGGGCTGAGTCCATTATCTATAACATCTCAATGTCCTTAACAAGCCACCAGATTACACTCAAACTCCACGCCGAGAACCAATTGAAAGAACAAAAAGAATCTAGTAAAGTATAGAAAGTCAAGTCAAACTGAGTAGACCTAAGAAGCTGATTGGGCCGTGAGACGATGGTGAGGTGACGGACAGTTGTGTGGGTGGCCACTCACGTCGCCTATGTAGCAGTGGTTAGTGGCAATCTGTTACGTATGATCCCCAGTGGGCCAGTTCATTCCTGCTCTGTCTTCTTCGTTATTTCCCCCTCCTTAACCATCGTCCCTTCTTTTGCCTAGACTCCCGCAAGCCATCCCTATCTATACCTCTCAGTCCTCCATGGGTCTAGCTCTGGGTCCAGGGTCCCATACCTGTGGGATGAGGATGTGGGAGGGAGGTGTGGAGTGGCCGATGATGAAGGGGATGGAAGGATATAGAAGGAAGACCCAAGGCCCGGAGCGGTCAAGACGTCTGTCAAGTAGAGAGAGGAGATCCAGAGAGAGTAGAGACTAGCCTAGCTATAGCGAGAGGAGAAGCTAGAGAGAGGGTGTAACCTTGCAGTAGAAAACCAAAAACAGTATATTTTACCTCTCAGCTTCCCTATCAAATCAAAAATCTCTAACAGAAAACCGAAGAAAAGTAACAACAGTGATAAATGGTTTGATGAAGAATGCAAAAACCTAAGAAATAAATTGAGAAACCTATCCAACCAAAAACATAGAGACCCAGAAAACCTGAACCTACACCTTCACTATGGTGAATCACTAAAACAATACAGAAATACACTACGGAAAAATAAGGAAAAGCATGTCAGAAATCAGCTCAATGTAATTGAAGAATCCATAGAATCTATCCACTTCTGGGAAAATTGGAAAACACTAAACAAACAACAACACGAAGAGCTATCTATCCAAAACGGAGATGTATGGGTAAACCACTTCTCCAATCTTTTTGGCCCTATAACAAAGAACAAACAGCAAAATAATATGCATGATCAAATGCAAATCTTATAATTAACTATTAAAGACTACCAGAACCCACTGGATTCTCCAATTACATTGAATGAACTACAGGACAAAATACAAATCCTCAAACCCAAAAAGGCCTGTGGTGTTGATGGTATCCTCGATGAAATGATAACATTTACAGACCACAAATTCCAATTGGCTATACTTAAACTCTTTAACATCAACCTTATCTCTGGCATCTTCCCCAATATTTGGAACCAAGGACTGATCACCCCAATCCACAAAAGTGGAGACAAATTTGACCCCAATAACTACCGTGGGATATGCGTCAACAGCAACCTTGGGAAAATCCTCTGCATTATCATTAACAGCAGACTAGTTTATTTCCTCAGTAAAAATAATGTACTGAGCAAATGTCAAATTGGCTTTTTACCAAATTACCGTACCACAGACCACGTATTCACCCTGCACACCCTAACTGACAAACAAACAAACCAAAACAAAGGCAAAGTCTTCCAATGCTTTGTTGATTTCAAAAAAGCTTTTGACTCAATTTGGCATGAGGGTCTGCTATTCAAATTGATGGTGTTGGGGGAAAAACATACGACATTATAAAATCAATATACACATTTCGTTCCACAGGGCCGTGGGGTGAGACAGGGATGCAGTTTAAGCCCCACCCTCTTCAACATATATATCAACGAATTGGCGAGGGCACTAGAACAGTCTGCAGCACCCGGCCTCACACTTCTAGAATCTGAAGTCAAATGTCTACTGTTTGCTGATGATCTGGTGCTTCTGTCACCAACCAAGGAGGGCCTACAGCGGCACCTAGATCTTCTGCATAGATTCTGTCAGACCTAGGCCCTGACAGTAAATCTCAGTAAGACAAAAATAATGGTGTTCCAAAAAAGGTCCAGTTGCCAGGACCACAAACACAAATTCCATCTAGACACCGTTGCCCTAGAGCACACAAAAAACTATACATACCTCGGCCTAAACATCAGCGCCACAGGTAACTTCCACAAAGCTGTGAACGATCTGAGAGACAAGGCTAATGGGGCCTTCTATGCCATCAAAAGGAACATAAAAATGTGACATACCAATTAGGATCTGGCTAAAAATACTTGAATCAGTTATAGAACCCCATTGCCCTTTATGGTTGTGAGGTCTGGGGTCCGCTCACCAACTAAGAATTCACAAAACGGGACAAACACCAAATTGAGACTGCATGCAGAATTCTGCAAAAATGTCCTCCGTGTACAACGAAAAACACCAAATAATAATAATAATATGCCATTTAGCAGACGCTTTTATCCAAAGCAACTTACAGTCATGTGTGCATACATTTTTACGTATGGGTTTGTCCCGGGGATCGAACCCACTACCCTGGCGTTACAAGCGCCGTGCTCTACCAGCTGAGCTACAGAGATTCAAGGTGAAGAAGCCAGGGCTAACTTGAATAAACATCCCAATACAAGCCATGGTCCAGTATATGCATTCATCTCTTTAGGATTCAGCTGTCTATTAGTGTGTGTACTAATAACAATGATAAATAAATAATGAATAATAATTTATAAATAATAAATAATGCATGCAGAGCAGAATTAGGCCGATACCCGCTAACTATCAAAATCCAGAAAAGAGCCGTTAAATTCTATAACCACTCAAAAGGAAGCGATTCCCAAACCTTCCATAACAAAGCCATCACCTACAGAGAGATGAACTTGGAGAAGATTCCCCTTAAGTAAGCTGGTCCTGGGGCTCTGTTCACAAACACAAACAGACCCCCACAGATCTCCAGGACAACAACAACAACAACAACAACACAATTAGAATTGTGTGTAATAGTTTATTTATTGATGTGAGTCCATACCGATGTATTTCAGTGTCTTATGACTGTTTATAAAAGACATAGTACCTGTCTTTGATCTTGTTGGTTCGCTCCACTTGGTCGATGTCCATGCGAATCTTGTACTTGACGTGACGCGGCAAAGTAGTGGTCCAGGGATAGACGTCCAGGAAGACTAGCCCCGCCCAGAATTTATTCTCCTCCAACAGAAAGAGAGCCTGGTGGGTCAGCTGATCCTCGTCTGTATGGGGCATGAACTTATCCAAACTGATACACTGGATGAGGGGAGAGGGAGGAAGGGGATGGAGGGAGAGGGAGGGAGGTGGGGATGGAGGGAGGAGGGGAAGGAGGGAGGTGGGGAGAGGGAGGTGGGGATGGAGGGAGGAGGGGATGGAGGAGGGGAGAGGGAGGAGGGGAGAGGGAGGTGGGGATGGAGGGAGGAGGGGAAGGAGGGAGGAGGGGAGAGGGAGGTGGGGATGGAGGGAGGGAAGGATGTGGGGGGAGAGAGGGTGAAGGGGGGAGATAAGAGGAGAGAGATATTTATTTCACCTATATTTAACCAGGTAAATCAGGTCAGTGTGTGCATGCTTCAAGCGTGTGTGTGTTGTGACTTGTATGCAAGTGTAGCAGGGTGTGTGAATGGGTTAGCAGCATAGCCCAGTGTAGCAGGGTGTGAATGGGTTAGCAGCATACCTCAGTGTGGACAGAATGTGAATGGATTAGCAGCATACCTCAGTGTGGACAGAATGTGAATGGATTAGCAGCATACCTCAGTGTGGACAGAATGTGAATGGATTAGCAGCATACCTCAGTGTGGACAGAGTGTGTGAATGGATTAGCAGCATACCTCAGTGTGGACAGAGAGTGAATGGATTAGCAGCATACCTCAGTGTGGACAGAGTGTGTGAATGGATTAGCAGCATACCTCAGTGTGGACAGAGTGTGTGAATGGATTAGCAGCATACCTCAGTGTGGACAGAGTGTGTGAATGGATTAGCAGCATACCTCAGTGTGGACAGAGTGTGTGAATGGATTAGCAGCATACCTCAGTGTGGACAGAGTGTGAATGGGTGTCACAGTGTCCAGCACTAAACCACTTCCTTTCATGACATTCACTAGAACACTCCACTGACATGGGAAAATGCTGAGATACATTCACATACACACAAAATGGCCTTGTGAATATCTCTCTCTCTCTCTCTCTCTCTCTCTCGAGAGACAGGAGCGAGAGAGAGAGAGAGAGATGAGTCTCATCTCTCTGTATGAGTCTATGATCTAGATAGCTTCTTCTTTTCTCTCTTTCTCTCTCTCTTCTCTTCTCTCTCTCTCTTCTCTCTCTCTCTCTCTCTCTCTCTCTCTTCTCTCATACACCACCACACTTCCATCAACACCACCCAACCCCTACCCCCTAACCCAGAAAATCGAATGAGTGCTGGATAGAGCGATTTGCCCTCTTTTATGTGGTGAGTCCAGGGGTTCCATTTCAGTGTGAGTCCCATACACAAAAACAACATTGAGCCCATAGGGAGGGGTGGTTCACTCCCACCCATTCAACGCTTTATCATTGACCACACAAAGACAAGCTGGTAGGGCCATGACAGCAGGCCTGTCCCCCTCTGGTCCTCCTGTCTCTCTCCTTGTCTCTCCCCCTGTCTCTCTCCCTGTCTCTCTCCCTGTCTCTCTCCCTGCCTCTCTCCCTGTCTCTCTGGCTGCAGGTCTGTCTGTCTGT